AAGAGTGCATGGGCAGTATCTGTGCAAAGGGGAGGAGTGTGCTCAACCACAAAACACAGAGGATGAAGTCAGGGTGGCAGATGTGAGCAGTGCCCCAGTCCCATGGAGAACCTTTAGCAAATGGACTTCAAGGATTAGACCCCCCCACTGGCAAGAACTTCTGAAACAGAAATGGACACAGGGAGCTGCAGCCTGCAGCCTTCAAACAGTAACTTCAGATGGGGTAGCGTATGCCTGCAATGGAGTGTCAACCACTCACTCATTCAGTATCTATCAGGCAACCACTGCTCCCTCCTGGACACCTCCTCCTCCCTTTATTCAGCACTCACGCTCACCAAGCAGCCTCCTAGTTGTGACCAGCTTCCTGGTAGGCCTCTGCCCATAGTCTCACAAGTTTGGCACAGGTGCGTTTGCCCAAGAGGAACTCACTCTTGTACTGATAAGTTAGGCAAGGCTGAACATTTAAGGGTGAGACTACGAGCAGATAATCTCCCCCAAGTGGTAGTGTGCACACCGAGACAGGACAGGGCGCCGGGTCAGACTATCTGGCCTCTGAGAATGGTTTTGCCATCAACGCTCTGGTTTACCCTAAGCAATTTAATTAACCTCTCTGAGCCTCTTTTTCCTCATCCGCAAACTGAGAAGCTTCATAATTTTTAGTTCGATAAGCAGCAGTCACAAAAAGGACTGTTAAATCTGAAATGCCTCCCATCCCATACCTGCCAATTCTGACTAGTTTCATTTACCACTCATTCACCAACCACAGAAAGTACAGCATCAATCGCAAGACATCGCTGCCTTCAGAAACTCCTGGAAATGATCTTTGACATGCAGCTCATCAGACTGTTGTGCTCTTCTCTTAGATTTGAAAATTGCCTTCTCAGCAAATGTAATTACAGCTGTAAGGGAGCCACTTCAGCCCTCGCCCCTGCGGAATCATTCTATTTACTTCAAAACAGCCGCCACGCCATTTCCCCAGCCCTCAGCCAGCAAACACAAAGGCATCATGTTCTTCAAGGATCCACCATCTGAGACCAGCTTGTTAAAACCAAAATGATTCCAGGTCTCAGTGTTCTCTCATCTATGAAATAAGCATCCTTTTAAAACAGACAAATCAAACGGGGTTCGAAGACTGTATTAACCATCTTTATTGCACTCAGAAGAACAACTCAAAGAGACGCAGAGTGGATTTTCAAATAGGTGTTTTCTTGACCCAGTTAAATTTTTATTTAGTGAAAAAAGTTGACAGTGAGACCAAAATTGCCTTGAAGTTGTGCAATATAGTAAAATCTTCAGCATAAATCAGTGATTTGGAAACTTATCCAGGCAATCAAAATCATAAATACCTAATTTCATTTTGGAAAGAAAGAAGTATACAGTGTTTCACTTTAAATAAGAGCAGAATAGGCCTTTATTTTGCTGCAACTATTTTGATTTTTGCCTAAAGTTTCTAATAACTCGTAACAGGTCTTTAAATGAGAAATGACATGGAATATCTGAGAATAATGTTCCACTTCCGCATTCACACTTATCCCATTTGAGCAATTACAAATGAAACTAATACCATTCTTGGGTTACTTGGCTCTGATGATTTAATTCATATTATGACTGCTCAAAATCAGTGGGCAGAAACATAGCCTCCCGCACAGCCCACGCTCAGTGGTGGATTCCCTTCTGGAAACGCGTTTATTACCTGTGCGCTCACTAGTACATCTCTCTTGCTAGCTAGTCCATATCCTCAGTCTTGCATAGAAAGTAGTCTAGATAAACTTAATGCACTGGCTTTTATTACACAAAAATTGTACCTGAAAGGCAGCACACACTCCAGTTTTAAAAAACATCATAGGAATGTCAAGATACAGTCCCAAAACAAGTAAACTCTGCATAGAGTTTGAGAGTCAGTTCCTAAAAATCAATGTGGAAGGGCCCTCCTTCCCTGAGGGACCTTCCAGTTCTGCCCGAAAGAAGGGAAAACTCTTCTCAGGGGGTCCACCCTAACCCCCTTCATGGGAAAGTGACCAGCCACACCTAACAGGATGCAGTTTCTGCTGTCAAGGACGCACTAGGATGTGAGCTTACTGGGGGGGAGTGGCTGCCAGGTGGATACGTGAAGGCAGGATTCTGAGGATGAATGGGTGACTCATGTGACCATTGTTCTCCCCAGTTCTCCTCCCACCCCTGGCAAAAGGGCCACTGGTTTGTGGAGGATTGCCTTCCTTAAACTGACATACAGCTCGTCTAATGGGCCACCCCATTGTGCATAAGGGAACATTCAGCTTATCCCACGTGTCCCACCCAGTCAAGACACCACGAGACCCCCAGGGAGCGTGCTTCCCAAGCCAGAAATTTCAACCAGTTCCCAGCTTCCTAACTGTTTACCCAGCTCTCCAGGGCAGCCAGTAGTCACTAGAACATCTGGAGAGAGGTCTGCACAGACATGGCCTCTCCCTGGAGTCCTCTACAAAACTATCATTTCATCCACATGGACCCGGGTCTCATAATGCTCGGGGGGAGGAGGGCTCATTCAGTATATAAAGGAGCAAAACCATCTTCTAGAGAAAATCTGTAAATACTCCTCCCTGCCCACCAAATCATAGGCTCCATTAGTGTCCACATGGAGAGAGGTTCTGACATGCGAATGAACCCTGGGACTGAATAACACCTTTCCCCTATACAGTGTGAATGTTTGAGGTACTATCTCCAACAGGTTAAGGAAGCCCCTTTTTCATAATCAGGGGCTCCCACTGGTTGCAGTGAAGACAATTGTCTGGTCACCTTCAAAGGCTGAATGTTTTCATTTCCTGCGTCACTCCAAGCCCTGGACCCTGCAATGGCCTATCTACACCAACAGCCCACAAAGCTATGCAGAGGGAAACAGAGTGTGTGCTTCAACATTTCATAAAAATATACAATTTACACATAGCTGCATCTATCTAGCTTAGTCTTCAGGAACTGAGCTCTTCTGTTTATATAAAATACTCTAGCCTGAAAAGGCTGCTTTGTCTCAGACAGCACAGTGGCATTTTCCAAGGAGAGGGGTGATGGCCGGTCTCTACAGTACTGGGGACAAAGCTTTGGGAGGCACTGGGAACGAGAACTAGCCGCTCGAAAATATCTCAGGTCGCCAACTGGAGACATATGCTCTGTAAAAGGCTTGCCTATGGAATCATTGAAAATAAAGTCTCCAAGCCTTCTACATCCGTGTGTGCAAATGCCACCAAAAAGTTGGCAGAAAAAGAAAAGAAAATATACTTTCTAGTGGTTCAATTAAGTGACTTGCCTCCCACCAGGCTTGTTAATCTTTCAGCGACTTAAAGAGCTTATTAAAGAGGAGGTGGTAGGGTTTGGCGTTTTCAACAAAACCCCAAGGAAAGACAAGATAATGCCAAAGAAATTCCAGTCTTTGAAAAAAAACCAAATGAAGCCCGACCCACACAACATATTAAGTGTCTACAGTTCAAAATAGTCCTCATCCAAAATATATATATATAAATTAAAAAATGTTTCAAAATTAATTTAATTGGCTCTTTGTTTTCCAATCACTAAGTAGAAGAAAAACTGTACTCTCACCCAAGAATGATACTTTTGGTTCAAAGAAAGCAAATACTCGTGAGAGGGCCGATGCCTTGCATCTAAGAGGACACGGGGCTTTACAAAGCTCGACCATGGAAGACACGTGTTCAGAAGCCAGGCGCTGCAACGGCCCCACTGCTCACTGCTTCTCAGTGGGGAGAAGTCTGGCAGTGAGGTTCACACAGAAGTCACAGCAATGTTAGACCCGGGGGGGCAGAGACCCTCAGGCTGACAGGTGGGGCTTCAGTGGGACCACATTTCATCATGCGGCCCTAACTTTAATACAGAGGGACATTTAAAGGTAGAAGCAGGAGGGTGGGGGGAAGAAAGCCCAACTCATTTTACAGAGAGAATAAGCTCCAGTGTGCTGCTTCTAAGAATTCGCCTGAATAGCCTAAGATGTGCAGGTCTCCTGCACCCCCATGAGAGAACACCATCTTCTCTTGAAATCGGGCAGGGGCACGGGTGAGAGGTGCAAGAAAAAAGAGAAGGCACTGACCCAAGTGAAAATGGCTGCAGGTATTAGCATGGATTTCTTGCAGGACAACACATGGCTACCGCAACACAAACACTAAGTTTACATTCGAGGTTTCTCAGAGGTTAAAAGCAAAGAAGAATCCAGAGCAGAAAAATTAGGTACCCTATTTGCCAGTGTATCTCTCATGGCACAGATCTAGAACTCTCCCTCAAGCAGAGCGGCTTTGGGCCATCAATAATGACACCAGTGAATCATAAAGCAGCATTACCCGCTTGGAGCTCCGGAAGCTCATCTGGTACAGAGGCGGATACAGCAAGATTCCCTTAATGAGCAGCGAGGGAGCGGCTGGCCGCAGAGGGCTTCCTGGCTGCAGCTCTGCTGAGCTGACATGGGGCGATGCCCCCTGCGGCCAGAGGCCATTATGCGACACACGTGAACAAAAATGCGGAATGGCAACAAAGCTGCTTCTGTTCCCCACCCCTCAACCCGAGGGGTGAGGGACTCGGAACACGTGATGTCAGATGGCCCGAAAGCCTTGTTGTATACAGAGTCCCAATAAATTAACAAAATATCACAAAAGAAGCTTCTCCCATAATGCACCCACATACTTTTATAAACTAAACTCAAGCAAAGTTCAAAATTTCAGGGCTTCCCCCCATCACTCTTGAAGTTTTTATTAAATACATTTCTGTGTCTTAGAAAAATAAAAAGAATGACCAGTTTATTAAACCAAAATTATCTCACAGACTTAAAAGCATGCCCAGCAAGCACAGCCCTGTAAGACTACATTAATGTCAAATCGAAGCAGTTTGGTTACTGAAATCAACCTGCCTTGAAGTTCACAGTTGATTACTACAAAGTTTATTCATCTCATTCCTTTCTTTCCTTTTTTGTTTTGTTTTTGTTTTTGTTTTTGTTTTTGCTTTGTTTTTGGCCCATATAAAAATAACATATTGCAACTCAAAGTGCATCTTTTAAAATAAACCATCAACTATCTTTATCAAATAAAATATTTACACCATTTGGTTTCTAGTGAGAAAAACTTTCAGGCTATCACCATTGGAACGTCGTCTGAAAATCCAGTTATCATGGGAGCATCTTCATCATCTTCTCCTAAGGGCAAAGAATCATTTCTTGGTGAGTTCAGTGCATTTCTGCCAGGCCCCAGCATCCCCCGCCCGTCATAACCCCCAGCTGGGACAGGGACAGACAGCCCAGCAGCCAGCTGGCACTATCATGCATGCCGACACCCACCCCGCATGCTCTGACACACTTGGCTCACCTTCTTCCCCATCGGTGGGTGACGAAGCCTATTTTAATGGTAGCTGAGACTTGGCCAAAGAAGGAAGTCTTAACCCAAGAAGAAAGAGGATCTTAACACCTCTTTCTTAGATTTTTCTAAACAGTACCAAAGTCCAGTAGGTGGCTTGGCTCTCCTATTTGATTTCTCTAGTCCCTAAACTGGCATAGTCAACTTCATTGCTTTCTCCTTTGAACCCACACTCCTGAGGAAAAGGGCCCCAGAGGGGTTTGAGTGTTTTGAGAGCCTCTCAGACTAAAAGTTGACTCCTGTGGCCCCCAGCACTCTCCTGCAAGCACAGTGGGTCACTACAGGGTCCAGCATGGGTTGGTGCCCTCTGTCCTGGAAAAGCAAGGCCAACACCCACCCATCCAAGCACGGCAGCCTGAGAACTTGCATTAAGCAAGAAAAGGAACTAAGAAGAAAGGGGAGCAGAGCTGATGTCAAACATGGCCAGTGAATGGGAATACATGCTGCCTTTAGAGGCCAAATAGAAACTATGACTCGTATAACTGGTCTGTGTGTGCAGACTTCTGTAGAAAGCAATTTCCATCTTGTCCTGTGCCAAGGGCACTGATAGAGGAAAGAGCAGCGGTAAGGTGGCACTAGCGACAAGAAAGAGAAACAAAGGTAGGAAGGGCCTCACTCCATAGAGGCCGACTGGGAATGTATGGCCTTCCCTCCTGCCGGGTATCCCCAAAATGTCCACACTCCAGAGCTGTGAAGCAGGGGAGATACGGAAATTCTTGAAAATTGGCCGACACTTTGGATGTCTCGAAAGCCCAGGGCCTGTCTGTCCTTCCTGAACAAGGCAAGTTCCTACTGGCGTTGCCACAAAGGCACTCCCTGGCTCAGACCAGGGCCATGTGATTGAAGATAACACTGGTGTTTTCATTCGGGAGCAAGTTCAGAGCAAAGGGCTTGGACTGGTTTGGCCCAGAGCAGCGAGATGAGATGGGTCCCCGGTAGCTCCTCTGGTGTCCACATGAGCTAACAGCACCGGCTGTGGGAGTGCGCCCCGGAGGAGAGCCCGGAGCCACCCCACTTACCCAGGTCGTCCCCTGAGGAGAAGATGGCAGAGCCCAGCCTGGAGCTGTAGTGGCTGTTGGCAAACGCAGTGAAGCTGCTCTGAAGCCTCCGATGCTTTGTGTACAGGATGGCGAACCCGACCCCTAGGCTCAGCAGGATCAGGAACAGGACCGGCACCACCACTGCAGCCACGTCCGGGGATCTGGCTGCTCGAGATGCTGACGCATCCCCACCTGCCAAGGCAAGATGCCAGCCCCTGAGCTGCCGGGCTCGGGGCCGGAAGGCGGTCAGGCCACACGCCTTCAGATCCCACCCAGCCAAACGGCCAGGCACCAGCCACAGCTACCCGGAGCGCCTGCCTGGCGTGACATGTTCCTGCACGTGACGCCAAGGCTTCCCGGTTCCTCCCCCAGCAGCTAGAACAGGGCCCTGTGCACGCAAATACGGTAATTCCATTAGACTCCTAATCACTGCCTTGTTGGTGATTTAGATAATCTCTTGGAAGGGAGACCTTTGTTGGGGTATCAACATTGATTTCATTAGCATTATTACTTAAGACCACTTGCTTGCCTTACATAAGAGGATGTGAAATCAGACCACTAATTAACGAGATTGCAATTATTTCTCCCTACTTGGCACCAAAGTCACTCTGAACTGCAATTACCTGAAGCTCCATTAAGTGATACAAACAAGATTCCTTTACTACAATACTGACTTAACAGCTCGTGAAGCTTTATGAGGGTTTTTTTTTTTTTT